AAAGGGATGCAATTGTGCTTTAAGAATTATAAACAAAACAGATGAATAAAACTTCATATGCATTGGACTGATAGAATCTAGTCTTTTCTTTCTCTGGACCTCTATAACACAACAGAATTTATTTTGAAATGTGATTTAATATGCAGCTATAAATAACCTAAGGAAAATAAGACCACAGATGATAAGGCCAGGAAAGTGTCTGGAGGTCATCCGGCCTAAGGTTTTTCACTAGGCCAGATTCTTTCCAGCATCATATAACTTCATCTTATCTCCTTTCTATAAAGCATTTGGTTGTAAATGTCTTTGTTTTAGTAGCAACACTTCATGCAGATAAATGCAAATATAAGTATCATAAACCATTTTTTGAAAAATATGTCCTAAGAACCATTAATTGGAGGAGTATAAAGCCAGATTCTTATCATAACACTAAAGTCTATTGCACATCATGGAAGAGATGTCACTTCTCCAAGCAGTAGAGAATTGTTTTTGAAGAAGCTGATTTACAATAGTGAGTTCGTTAGTGTTTGAGATGGTGGCTGGAAAGAAAGGAGCTAGCAGAAAATGGCTTAGAATCACTGTTGGACAGTGAAAATGAATGCAGAAAAGTCTTGTATGCAGTTATGTGTTCCCAGTTTAGAGACTGGAAACACTATTTGAATATGAGAGACTAAAATATAATTATAGGACATAGAGTAGATATAAAAATCAATGACGCTAGAATGATGGTAGAAGTAAATGCAAGTAAAATAGAAAATATGGAGCTTGTTATTTCTGGAAAGATTTTGAACTTCTTAGTGTACACTATACCTAAGAGATGCTCTAACTCTCCATGCAGAAAAAGTTCTTTTATTCTCCCCTGTCCTAGCGGAAAGAAGCAAAATTCAGTGATACTTCATAGTCTCCTCAAACTTTCAGTATGTGACAAAGATGAGAAACCATATGCTAAAGGGAAATATTAATAGAAAACTTTGTATTTCACATGCTCATTGAATCCGTTGAAGACAGTTGGCACATCTTGAGTAAGCTGTGTACAAGTCTTAGCTCATTTACTACTCCTGTATTGTATATGCTGATCCAAATCTTAGTATGACACATCAATAAACCAAATCAGAAAAGGTGTCGTTTTGATTTTAATGTATCTAATTGCATTTTTTTTTTTTTTTGTCTTTTTGAGACAGGGTCTCCCTGCATCCCCAGCTGGCCTGGGACTCACTATGTAGACCAGGTTGGCCTTGAGCACAGAGGTCCACCAGCCTCTGCCTCCCAAGTGCTGGGATTAAAGGCATGCATCACCACGCCCAGACTAAGTTTTTTTTTATTTTATGTGTATGTGTGTATTACCTGCATATAGGTAAGTGCACCTGTTTCATGCAATGCCCGCAGAGGTCAGAAGAGGCTGTCAGATCCCCTGCTACTGGAGTTACAGACAGTTGTTAGCTGCCATGTGGATGCTGGGATTTGACCCTGGGTCTTCTGCAAGAACAACCAGTGTTCTTAACTGCTGAACCATTTCTCCAGCCCCTCTAATTGTATTTTTAGATGTTTCCCCACTTAGACTATTTGTGTTATTTCTTGATTTTTACATGCTACAGAAGGATATGCTATGTGGTACTGATTTAAATGAGAAAACATTGCTTTTGTAAAGCCCTTTCAAATGATTTTATTCTGAATATGTTTTCAGAAAAATCATTAATCCTCTTTCATATTTCAGTCTTTTCTAATCCAGTGTGCTTTTTTCCCTCCAGAATTTCAGTGTAATTTAGCCACAAATATTCATGTGACTATCCAATAATCCTATTCCTCAAGTTTGTGAGGAAGTAAAAAAATAAGGAAAAATATTTTGTAAAGTATTCTTCAAAAGGTTTCTTATAGACAGAAACCATATATTTTACACACCTCCCTATATATAACTGCTCTCCAATTAGGTCATCAATTTCTTAGACCATCACAAAATATTTAGTGTGATCTAATGCCTAGCTAGGATAGCAATTGTATATTCATCAACTGATACCACCTCAGGTCAAGAATTAGTAACCAGAGCTAGAGAGATGGCTTGAGGGTTAAGGACATTGGAGAAGACCCAAGTTCAATTCCCAGCACCCAGGACAGGTAGCTCACAGCCTCCTGTAATTCTAGCTCCAGGGGATCTGCACTCTCTGCTGGATTCCCTGGGCATTTGCACTCAAACATATGGATACTCACACACAGACACACACATATACTCATAATTTTGAAATAAAATTAATCTTTAAAAAAAATTGGTAGCTACATTTTGAATGTTCACTGCAACCAGAGAGTATGCTATATGTTAGAAAGTGAACTAGATCCAAAATGGTCTCAAAAATGTGTTGGCTGGAGGTGAGCATTTATAGTATTTATAGCATTCATTGGTGTTTGTGCAAAGTATATTGAATGCTATAGTTTATTCCATTAAGCTACTCTTTAAAATGTTATCCAAAGAGAGTAAGAAATATGTGCATGACCACATAGCTAATAAAAAGTTATTGCAGGATTTAAACGAAGGCCCACCTATTCCAATGTATGTTCATGTCTTTCATTCATTCACTAATTAATATTTTGTTCATTTTACCCATTATTTACCAGTATAGAAGCCATTTTTCTTCATAGGAAAATTCACTGTTTAATGGAGGAAACTGAAAGGCTAGACCAGTTTCACTCTCCTCTTTCTTTATTTAATTTATGGCATATCATAGGCCCCAAATGGCCCAGTGAAGTACCAATTTCCTAGCATCATTGAGTGACAGAAGGGCCACCTAGCACAAGATTCCTACTAGTTTAGGTTATGATGCTGCTCTCTTTTTCTCTTTCTTTTCCACCTTTGTTTCTTTATATGCAGTGGTCCAAGCCGTATTATGTTGGAATTTTTCTAAGAATAACTACAATTTTGAAAGCTTTGACCGTGGGTGCATTATTTATAGACCTTTGTGGTTTTAAGAGGGAAGAGAAAAGCTTCCAAGCAGAGTATTACTAGGAAGACTGCCTTCACCCCACTTTAGCCAAACATTATCTTCAGTAGGACATTTTCTTATAATTCCTTATTTTTTCAAAAACTGTCAGTTTCTAAACTAACTCTTAACCCATCAAATTTATATATCTATTAATAGGAGATTATGAATTAGGCTTTTGAAAGTATATCTTATTAGAAACTATTTGGCCTTAGTATCCACCCACCTGCAAAGACATTGGTACCCAAGGGCTTGTTTTCCTATGTCCAAGAAACCTAGACACAAGTGCTCAATGGACTCAGAGGCTCTCTTTCCAGCATGTTCCATTTTTAACAGCCTTGCTTCTCAAAGTCATCACCAGCACAGTCTTCCATTTACATTCTAAGAAGTAAGAAATGAAAAGGACAAAGAAACAAAAATCAAATGAGTTCTGCACATAGGCTTTCTGAGTTCCCACTCTGAAAGTGTTATACTTTGACTCTCATTGACCAGACTTGGTCACACTGCTAACCCAGCTGCCAAGGAAACTGGAAAGTGAACCCCTTAACTGGGCATGCTACTGCCCTGTTCACAGTGGAATGATCTTGCTAAAGGAGAAGAAAATGGATATGAGGTTGGTGTCCATCTCATGTATTGCTTTCTTATACACCAACACTTCCAGCAATGATCTCTCTGGAATCACAAGGAGCTGTCTGCTAGAAACGAAAGAGAAAATACTGGGGAGAAAGATACCTAGCTCAGTGTGCAGAAAGTGCTTAAGTTCAATAAATATCTGTTCTCTAGATGGGAAGGTCCTGGGTAAAAATATGATTGTCCAAAGTAACTACATTTTTTTAATGTGTCACCCTCTCTCTGACAGGAACAGAATGAGTAAAACAATCTAGGGGATACCCGGTTTTGAAAAACTTATTTTAAGAATGTTACCTGCTGTTATACTTCTTTGGAAGTTGTTTTTTTTTAATTTTTATGTGTATGAGTGTATTACCTGCATGTATTTAAGTTACCAGTGCCATGCAATGCCCACAGAGGTCAGAAGAGAGTGTCAGATTCTCCTGGAACTGGAATTAGGGACAACCGTTAGCCACCATGTGGATACTGGGAATCGAACCCAGGTCCTCTGCAAGTGCTTTTAACTGATGAGCCATCTCTCCAGCCCCATATTATACTTTTTTGGAAAAAATTTTAAGTCTCCTATCTTATAACAAAAAAGTACTAGTATGAAAATTCAGCATAGAAATGATTTTAAAAATTCTTTTGCTCTTTCAAAAATATTTTCCATAAAACCAAAGTAGAATGTTTGTAACATCTGTAGAATATTTAATCAAATCACATTATATGTCTTTGTCTATTAGTTTCCTACTGCTGCTATAACAATAACACCAACCTGTGGTTTCAAGAACATGAATTTATTATGTCACAGTCTTGGAGGTTAGAAATCCTCTAACATTTCACTGAGCAGAACCAGAGACATGGCAGATCTGTTTCTTCTGCAGGCTCTGTTTCCTTGGCTTTGCTGGCTATGGTGGCTTTCTTCATTCCACAGCTCCTCCCTCATCAAGCAGTCCTTCCCCTCTGTTCTCACTGTCACATCACCTTCTTTCTGTCTCATATCCTCCTGCCTCTCTCTGATAAGGACCTTTGAGATTAAACTGGGCTGAGAAGGATAATCCACAAAGTTCCCCCATGTCAATTCCTAACTTGATCACATCTTCAAAGACTCTTTTGCCAAGGATTATAACATAGACATCTTTGGAAGACATTATTCACCTCATCCCACCTTGTAACTAAGAAAATAAGGAAGCAATCCAATATCTAATCTTAAAAGGAAGATTGCATCAAAGGCACACCATTGCTACTATCATATGATTATAATCTAATTTAGAGTCCAAATAAGGAAACTATACAAGTACGTGGAGAACTGATGATTAGTACTTTTTGCTGGTGGGTGTTAGTCTAAAATTCTCCTAAGAAATCCTCCTATATACCTATAAAGTCTCATTCTCTCCTAATCTCCCTTTGAATTTCTCTTTTCAGAAAAACAAGATAACAGTGCAAGAATTGAAACTATAAGGTCTCTGGTACAAAAACTCCCTCCACCAAATCATGACACCATGAAAATCCTCTTTGGACATCTAACTAAGTAAGTTGTGTTTGTGAGTAAATGGGGAGCATTTAATTTGTATCTCTAAGACAAAGGTTCCCCAATGTGTCTGTCTCAAATCTTTCCTTCTAGCTGGCCTCATTCTTCCCACAGAGCCTGGAAATGTAACTGAAATAGGAAAGAGAACCTAAACAGGAAACTTCTGAAGGAATTAATTTTTCCTGGATTTTTTAACTTGAAGATGCTTGGTGATTAGCTGTCAGAACCATTGCTAGGGCCCAAGGTGGGCCATGTTGACTTTGCTATCTAATATCACAGAATAATCATGAAATGATTCAGACCTGAGTTAAAATACAGCCCTGCCATGTACCAAATGCTATGACCAAAATTAAGTTACTTAAATTCTCTGAAATTTATTTTGCTCTTTAACATGTGAACTCAGAATGATAAGGTGCTATCCATGTAATCAGCTAGAAGAGAGTATTCCAGGAAGAAAGAGGGCACTTCAAATACATGGAGGCCCCAAAGAGCTTGATGCACTTGAAAAGCACAAAGCAGGTTAGATAGGTTAGCATCTAGTGTGCAAGGAGTACGGTGGTGGGAAATGAGGCCATATCACAGACTGTTATGGGCTGTGAAAGACCTGAATTCCATGCTAGATACAAGGATAGGCCACTGAAGAGGCTAAATTGGGAGAGTGTAAGAGTGTTCTGGCTGCTGAGTAAAGACTACAAACATGAAAGCAGAAATAGCCATTAACAAGCTAGAAACTATAATAGTCCGGCCAGGAAATAGTAATGATTTGAATGAAGTCCTTAGAGAGAAATAAGTGGAGATATCTTGGAGTCACAAGGTTGGGGTTGCTGTTGTTTGGGATACAGTTGGGAAGGGAAAGGAGAAACCACGTGTGCCACTTTGGATTTCTGCTTGGGCAAGTTGAGAAATGATAGTGTCACATGCACAGATGGGTAAACCTGGGGAAGGAACAGGAAGAGCAGGTTGGAAAGCTCTATTTTGGCCATGTTAAGCCTGGAATAACTGTTATTGCCTTCTGTTAACACCTTCAGATAAGGCACAATACATGTGATGAGGTTTTAGCATTCACTCTATATGCATAGAATTAGTGCACTATGCACAGAAGAGTGAATTGTAACCGCAGTTTTATTTTTGTGAGATTAAATCTACCTAATCATGTTAGTCATCCATTCATTAAGATGAGCAATTCCTGAAAATTATTCAACTAATCCATGATTTTTACTGTGAATGTAATACATGCACCTGCATAAAAATATAAGAAACAATGGTGAATATACATTAAAAAGTGAAATTTGCCTACCAGTTGTTCTGAGCCTGCTGAGTAAAAGTAACTAACGTTCTTTGATGTATCCTTCCAGACCTGTTCTTAAGCACATGCAAACGTATGTGGTTGCTTCTGGGGCTGTATACATCACCCAGCACATACTGTTCTGCAACTATCTGCAACTCATAGACTGCCTTCTATTTCATCAAGCAGGCTGGTCTTACTCATCTTAATGATAGTATAGTGTCCCGTGGGTTGGTTAGTCTGTAACTTGCTGAACTAGTCATGGCATTAGAGAACAAATTATACTTTCCTGCCATATTAGTTCTCTGGTTTTACTCCCACAGGGGACGCTTTGTTTCTGAACATCCTCTGGAGTAGGGTATAAAGGGAGAAGATCTTGGCTCTTAAAGAAATAGAACAAAAGACAGAAAGACCTAGAGTCCAATCCTTGTTCTATATATTAATTGTGTTATGATCTTAGATACCTAAAACTGGATTAAATAACATCAACCATATCTTGTGGTTGTAAGAATTAAATGAGATAATACACATAAAATGGCTGGTACAAAGCTAAGCATTGTATAAAGGGAGAAGATCTTGGCTCTTAAAGAAATAGAACAAAAGACAGAAAGACCTAGAGTCCAATCCTTGTTCTATATATTAATTGTGTTATGATCTTAGATACCTAAAACTGGATTAAATAACATCAACCATATCTTGTGGTTGTAAGAATTAAATGAGATAATACACATAAAATGGCTGGTACAAAGCTAAGCATTCCTGAAATGTGCTTTTTTGTGGGGGGGGGGTCTGAGGATTCTTACACACCCTAAAAGGGGTTTCAAGTTACAAGTAAAAACTGGAGTTCTTATCACAGTAATTCTAACTGGACAAAGTCATAAAACAAATGGAAAATTATGCTCTTTAACGCTAAGATATATTTAGTCTTAAAGAGTTTTTGAGACGTGTCCATTACTTAGTCTCAATTGTTCTTCTGTTTTTACAACTGGAAAAAACAGCTATAAAACAAAGAAATTAAGAATTGGCTAACCCTTCCTTCAGAAACATACAGAGGAGAATCTATGTAGTTAAGAGCCTTCCAAAGTTCAAGATTCTCAGTGCCTACCTACGTAGGCAATCCCTATACTAACATTTCCAGTTTGATCATGTATCTTATATCTAAATGAATTTCTCAACTTTGTTAGATCTTTTGTTTAGTTAATTAAAGATGGAAATTGGTATGTTAAACTATGATTTAAAATCAGATTATTGTATTACCTCATACTTTCACATTTTAAGATTTATCATAATAGATATGGCAAGCTGTGTAATTTACCAGTCCACCAACCTTTCTTTGGTGATGTGACCATATTCCACCCTACACCAATTTGTAAACTGAGTTTAATTATGCATAAGTGTGTGTGCTCCATTATATCTTGGTAAGCATCTTTTGCTAAGTTTTTGACAAACGACCAATTGTATCATGTCATCAAAGCATGAATAAGAAGATTTCTAACTAAAATTTAAATATACTCATGTTTGAAAGAAGCATTAGAATGTTTTCCTTATTCTTGATGCATTTAGTAGTTCCTCATAAAATCTACCATCAACACTTACATGTAGTGTTTATTCCAATTTGTTGCATATATGCCATGTGTATGATATGTGTGTGTGTGTTTGTTTGTTTGTTTGGATGGGGTGAGGTAACTAATGATGTGCCAAAATTGCACTTGACCTTAGTACTCTACAGTCAACAGAGCAAAACTACAGTTTTCAGAACTGCAAGTTAAACACTGCTCTCAAAGCAGTGTAGTTGCCAACTAGGAAAGCTTACCACAGCACAGCTGGACTAGAAGATGGAGGGAAATCTTAATCATAAAGACCAACATCTTTGGAGTCGTGATTATATTCAGCATAATATGTTTAATGACTACAAGGTGTATATGGTTAGGATCCAAAGGCTTCATTCTTAATTGAACCCAAGATCAAGTTCTTTGTTCCTACTATCACGGCTTCGATAAGAAATTCAGAATGAACAATCATGTGAAAATACTACCAGCCAAAAATCTTTATTAGTGGTCACTTTCGTGAATTGACATCATAGTGCTTGGACCTGGATAGTCCTGTGATACCTTCTGAATCATCATCTAAGAGGCAAGTTCTGGCTCTATAAAATATGCCATAAATGCATTTTTAATGCCTAATCTTCTAGAAAGTTATGAAAGAAAAATTAAGATGAAGATAGTAGGTAAAAGATGAAGAAAAATGTCTTACTTATTGATGGGTATTAGTTGGAGGCCAAAGGCTGATTAAAAGAGGTAAGAACAAATGAATCATTAACATTTCATGCCCCAAACGATTACATGATGTGCACTTTGTGTATGAGTTATCTAACAATTGAATGTAAGGTGACTGAGATAAAAGGAGGGAAGAAATCCAGGAGGCCCTATCACAGTTGTAGTTAGATTGGAGTGATGGAAATTGGAGGGAAAGAATTGGTCCAAATCCTGAGATATTCAAATGAAAAGTCCACATGATTTTTACTACTTTCATATCTGTATTCAGCTATCCATAGAGAAACATACAAGACTGCAATGCTGAGCAATAGTGAAAATTATCTCCCAGGCAACAAGTTTAAAAGCAGGAGGAGACATTGTTTAGGAAGGTGTTCTTTCTTCTATTTTGCAAGAGCAGACACAGAAAGAAGATAGGATTGTAGAAAATTAGTCAAATTTTAGCTTTCTATTTCCTATGTTGGCTGCTATCTGCTGCTTGTGGGACAGACCTCCAAGCATATTGGGAAAGTAATAATTCAAATAACTCAAGAATGAGGACTGTTCCTATGTTTAGAATCAGTGATCTGACCACCCTCTCTATTCTGCATCAAGTACTTCAGATGGGAAAGGGAAAGGTTCACACAGATTAAACTATTTATGATAACACTGTTGCACCAGTAGAAACAGAATGGAGGAAGAAGTCAGTGAGAAGAGATGGGTTAGAATCACATCATATTGACTTCATGAAACATGTTCATGGCTTTTTTCTTGATTGAGAAAATGCTTATATTTGGTTGAATGAAATCACAGATAAAATATTTTGCTTACTCAGAGCATAATTTTAAATAAGTTTTAAAAAGTTGTGCATATAGAAAAGCCTATAAAAATATTTGATGAAATGTTAATTTTTTTCTTTCTTTGAGGCATTGAATTAGATGTGTGTACGTGTGTGTGTGTGTGTGTGTGTGTGTGTATGTGTGTGTATATGTGTGTTTCTTCTCTGTAAGAACAGTATACAAAGAGATATTGGGGTTATGGGAAGAAAGAAACAGTCTTTGGAGTCAAACAGACCTGAATATGGATCTTGGCTCTACCACTATGGGAAGCATAACCGCAGCCAAGTCAGCACTAAGCTTCCATCTTCTCATCTGTGAAATGGAGAACTTAGTAGCATTTATTCCTGTGTGGTTAAATGTATAATGTTTTCACAGATCTTGCAGAGCACCTACCAACCACATAAGTATTTTAAAAACGTTATACATCCAAATGTAATATTTTTATCATAGGGAAAATATGGAAAATTTTTAGAAAATAAATATAAGAGTAATTACTGAGGTGGTGTAGAGTGTAATTATTGTCCAATTTCTGGGACTTCTAGAAAATTACTTACCCCACCTCTGAAATGTTTTTCAAAACTTGAGATTCCTTAGAATCTTGACTCATCCAGTTTTCAGAGTTCCAACT